AAGAGCACTCAGAATGACATGGCACACTGCAGCAAATGCGTTTTCCTGGAACGCTTGCCTCTCCCACTTGAAATCTCAATAACTGTAACAACATTAAATGTTACCATTAAAGTTCAGCTTTTACCATTAAGGACTGTAAGACAAAAAGAGTAAAATTTAGCCCTAGTCACAAACCCATGGGGACAACCGAAGTCAGGTCCAGTCTTCACGAAACAAGAGCATTCTTACCAAGGAGGGTAAGGTAGAACAAATCAGTTACAACACACATAAAACACTGCATCTCTAACAGCGTTTAAGCAACTGCCTCTTCCTTCCACAGCAAAGGCAGAAGCAGCAGCATGGCCTGTTTTGCACACCTGCTCTTACCAAGCTGACCAGCACTGCCCAAGTTCTTCTACTTGGACTTAGCTCATCAACAGCCTTTCACTGAAATCATCCTTTATTTGAAACTGCAGGTTTTTTTAAATTTCTACACCTCCCAGCCCCACCAGCTCTAGTTCACAGCCACTGATCCTGGTAAGTTAATGCTGCAATGCTTAGTACTTAAAGAAGATAAAAGCAGTTGTGAAACTACTGATCTATGGTCACAGAGCTAATTTAGAGCAACTATCTTTCATACAACTCAAAAGAAATCAAAAGAGAACACACCATTCAACAGTGCTACATGATAACAGGGGGGAAAAAAACATCTAATTGAGTACAGACTTTCTTCTTGAATACGCTGTTTTGGCAGAGGTAATCAAAGAACAGGATCTAATCCATAACAGAAAATAAATAGAAATCCCAAGAAAGAAACTCCTAATGGGATAACTCTGCTAGAACATGGTTCACTGGCTTGGGAGGCACATCCACGCAACGGTACCAGAACAACCAATTACTCAGTGCTCTGGCCTTCAAAAGGTAAGGTGAAAGTACAACCAAGAATAAATGACCTCAGAGTTGAGCATATTTTTTAAAAATAATTCACTAAACTGCTAGATCTGGTGTAGCACACAGCTTTATGGTTTTTTCCTGGTTCACGGCAGAGTCCCAGCACTAACAAAACATGTAAAACCTTCCCATCAGAAGACTCTGAGAGCCCTCCTTCTCTAGCATGGAGCCTTCAGGGTCTGCTCTGGAAAATCAGTGGGAAGCACAGAGCTACCCAGAAGACAGCACTCACCTGATGGCCGCACGCTCCCGGTAATCCAGATCATAGCTCTGCAAGGAGTCAGCGCAGGACTCCCGCAAGACCCCTTGCTGCTGCAGGCGTGAGGGTGCAGCGAACTGGTGCACAGAGGCGTTGGGCTGCGCAGTCGTGTGGTACGGAGGAGGAATGCTGTTGCTTGTCTCACTGCGATAGTCACTGTCCCGGTCATCCACAGCACTGTCAGCATCTTCAAAGGCTAAGAAACAAAAGCAGTTAAGGGCACGGCTCTCAAATTGCCTTGCTGTGACAGCGAAGCCCACGTAGTTTTTAATGAATGACCAAAAAAAAACTCCAAAACCCTATTTCTGCTGTGCATGTATCTCCATCTCTTAGCTGGTTATAACCTCCAGTTCTCTCAAGTATGTACCAAGGAATTCCAGTGATCACCTCCATACCCTCCTTTCCTCCTTCCTATCATAGGATTTTACTTCTTTTCAGTAATTCCTAATAAGCAGATATTATTTAAAACAAACAAAAAACCAGCCTAGCACCTCAAATATCAGGTTCTTTGCTGCTGCCAAGATGAGCACTCATATGTTGGAAAACAAAACACTCCTTTATAGAGAGGATCTCTTTCCTGGAAACTTTTCAACCTTTAAGCTGTAATAGTATCTCTTCTTCTTTGCATCCTTAACCAGCACTCTTTGGTTCTGGATTTTTTTAGTGCCCTTTTTTTTGTGAAAGTATTAGTTAAGAGAAACTAATGAAAAGCACCCAACTCAGGAAGAAAATCAGAAGAATGTGGAGAGTAGCTCTGCCTATATACAATTCACACAGAATCACAGAATCACAGAACG